ACTTGTTTTCCATCCTAACACGTTTCCGATTACATGAAATAGTTATGGTTGCTGACTGTGAGAAAATGTCTTGCCAGGTGTTGGTTGATAAAAATGATTGTAAGTTTCAACAAATATTGTGGAGGACAAACAGTTATGAGCCTGTCAAGGTATATAAACTGAAAACAGTAACTTATGGCACCTCTAGTGCTCCCTTCTTAGCTTAGGTGTTTGAAACAGTTATCAGAAGACGAGAAGACACGATTCCCTACAGCTTGCGCTGCTGCAGGCACGGACTTCTATGTGGACGACTTACTAACCGGGTGTCACGATGAGAAGGCTGCTCTACAGTTGCAGGAAGAAATTGATCAACTTTTACGTTCAGGAGGTTTCAAACTACGTAAGTGGTGTTCTAATAGTTCTGCTGTACTAGACAGGATACCAAAAGAGGACAAAGAGTTGCCAAATAAATGGAAGACGTTTGTTGCTAACAGGGTGTCAGAAATACAAGACACTATTCCGCCTTCAAATTGGAATCATGTTAGTTCGTTTGAAAATCCAGCTGATTTGGCTACTAGAGGCATTTCTGGTTCTCATCTGAAGCAATCTAGTCTTTGGTGGCATTTGCCGGAATGGCTAAGGCAAGAGAAATCAAGTTGGCCTCGAAATAACACGAATGTTAACTTAAAAGAAATCCCAGAGTTACGAAAAACATCCACTCAAATTTTGTGTGGACATGACCAGACGGTCTGCGTGTCTGATGGTTGAACCCTCAGACCACAGACGGTCTGAGGTTCCCCCACCACTATTTTTGTCTGGTCTGTGAGTGTGTAGCGCTGTCTGTCAGACGGCCGACCATCGTGACAGTCTTCATCCATTTGTTGGAGTTCTCACCACGGTCTCTCGATTACGAATGTTAGACCGTCTGGTCTGGGCTGGGAGTGTGTAGAGCCGTCCAAGACAGTCTGGTTGCAGCCAGACGGTCTGGTCTGGAGGTCTGGTCTGGTAGTGTGTGGGGGGCTTTACGGAATAACTAAGTTCTGTGTCAAAAATAAGTTCTAGACCAGTGGTATAGCCAGGAAAAATCTATTTTCGCCATAATATGAGTACAAACTTTTGAAAATTTAACATGGGCCTTATGAGAAAACATTCCGCCATTGTTGTCATTTTGTTTACATTTTAAGACATAACGTGACGTTCTGTACCCACGGGCACCTCAGCTTGCGCATGCGCAGAAGTTCTCTATCCACAGTATACTAGCAAAACAAAATACAGTACAAAAGGAAAAACATCAGTGTTACTATTAAGCAAAGATTAAACTGAACTCGATACATAGTAGTCAAGGGTAGCAGTGTGGAGTGTGGGATCTGTTTATGACAATTAGATCACGGTATCTGAAATTTTAAAATGCAATGTAAAGGGAGGGAAACAGGTCCGCGACATAGGAAGTGGCGAAGGAAGTTGTGAAGGTGAGTAGTACGGAGTGTGGGCACTGTTTTTGAAGATAAGATTAAGGTATCTGCAGGCTTAAATTCTATGGGATGGGAGGGAAACAGGTCCGCGACGTAGGAAGTGGTGAAGTAGTAATTGCGAGTAGTCCGGAGTGTGTGAACTGTTTATGACGATTAATTTGAGATATTTGCAATCTTAAAATGCTATGGGGAGGGGGGGAACAAGTTCGCGACGTAGGAAGTGGTGAAGGAAGTAGTCCAGGCGAGCAGTCTGGAGTGTGGGAACTGCTTTTGAAGATTAGATCATTGACTATGAATCCTTAAGGATTCATAGTCAATGATTAGATTAAGGTATCTGCAATTTTAAAATGCTATGGGAAGGGAAGGAAACAGACCCACGACGTAGGAAGTGGTGAACGAAGTAGTAAAGGCGAGCAGTGTGGAGTTTGGGAATGGATTAATGTATCTGCAATACTAAGACTGCTTTCATATTAAACTAATGATTTTACCTGAGCAAAGCTCGGTCCCCAGGTACTTATAATTTTAATCAATAAAACAAGCATTAGTACATCTATTGACTTTTTTTACCGGCACATTAAGTTACTACAAATATCAAATCACGTTTGTTCCTCTCAACTGGCTTTCACCTCTCTGAAAGCAACCCTAGTATACATGTAAAAATACATCATTTCGCACCGTATTGTCATTTAATTGTTTTTCCGGTATCCCTGCAAAACACGTTTCAGGCGTCCGCAGGCATACCAACCCGTATTTATATTACAATTCGATCGAAAAAGTGCCGATGGAAAGAGCCGCAACGCTAATTTTCACGTCACGACGGTGTTGGTAAGTTGGTTGTTGATGGTAGCTGTATTCGTTCTGTCACTGTATTCGGCTGGCTTAGGTATGTTTGTTTTGTTTACTCATTGTTTAGTGTTTACTTTGTTTTTTGTTAGTTAGTCCTACGGCCTACCATTGTCCTCCTACCTTACCCTACCTACCTGCCTAGGTTTAAACCTAGTAGGTTAGGGTAGTTTTGGAAGGTATAATAAAGTTCAGGTAGGTAAGGGATGATCTTATGGTTAAAGATAATATTTTATGTTTTAATGGACAAAGTTGTTAGAATATGTTACCTCCAGACTTTACGATCAGACTGTTTTTGTAGGCTATAATAAAAACACTGCAAAATACTATTATAAAAATTTCAGCAATTTTTGAAATTGTATTTTGCTGTGTTTAACATTTTCTGACATTAAAGGAGTTTGTTAAAGTATTGAAACGAAATCCCCTGTATAGGCCTACTATTTAGGGAACCTTATTGTTATTGGACATTGGTAGGCTAATTGTTTTGGACACCAGATTGACCTAAAACGTTCTGGGTATTTATTGCGACGAACGTGATCATGGGAACCTATATAGATTTATATATCACTAGAAACTAGATTTTTAGCTGAAAATAATGGTGTAAAAATTTTTCCGCGCTCTCAAATATTGACGGAGCTAGGCCTACGGCTGTTTTAAGTTTTATTTACCGGTACTTTGTTTTTTTGACCTAAACCTATTTATAATCCTATGAAATGTTCTCTCCAGATACTTGATATATTACGTTAATATGTAAGTAATTAAAGTAGAAGACTCACTTTTTACCAGGAAATAACAGTGCAAAAATGTCTCAGAGGCCACGAATATTAACTAAGGTAAGTACCGTAAATTAAGATAATTTGCCGTTTTGATTTCCTATATCTACCTTCTATTCTAGTCTGCTACTGCTTGCCGAATTACGGAACGGACTAACTGTTACTTGTAGAACTATACTGAACCTAAAATGAAAATACGAAATTGAAGAGAAGAGAATAAAAATAAGTCAATCAAGTCATTTAAAGTACATTTTTGTGCTACAAACATCTAAGAAACAACACGGCACTGAATAACTTATTTCAGAATGAATTTATTTAGGCATGTGTGGAAGGCAAGCCGGGCTTATGCGGATTCGTGACTGTATTAAGTGTTTTGAAGTTAGGTTAGATTAGAAAGGTAAAGTGTAGGTTATAGTGAACTGAGTTGATAATTTACATTACGCACAGGCAGTTGTTGTGCAATTAAAATAGTGTGTTAAGCACAATGAAAAATAACGATTTCAAAAATGCTGCAAGCATGTTTTGCGCATTTGCAAGGTTTTATTAAAACGAATCTGAGAAGCTTAAAAACAATGTTTATTATACTGTTATATATACAATTTTGTTTGGAAAATCATGGGCTTCAATATTACTGTATACATAAAACATAAGGAACATTTGTTTCAAACAATTTTTAGATAAAAAAAAATATGTTGGAAAATTTTCAAAAAAAAATAAGTTTACGCTCAATGAAATTGTATAAATTATATAGGCCTATAAATATTTGAAAATAGCCACTTTGTTCTAAATTTTATGAGGATTACAAATATGTAATAATATAAGGAAGGAGCAAGTAAATAAGTTATGGGCAAAAAACAGATTTCAGTACATAGCGTTTAGCTAAGAATGCATAGCCTAACCATAGCTAGGAATCTGGCTGATAATTTACATCAATATCACTACCTACTTCTTCAGGAGCATCAACCAGTCCTTCAAAATCACTTAAATCTTCTTATAATGCACCACGTATATCACTACTTTTGATTTTTAATACTAAAACAATGATAAATGTAATAAAACACATCCAGTCATCGGTGCGAGGTTAATCAAGCTGTTTACAAATACGCACGTCAGCTGTCTGCTACAATTATGATCGGCTCGAGAAAAAAAAGCGCTTAGAGACAGACCTCGGGAGAAAGCTTAGAATCTGCCAAATAAAACGATACCTAACTCGATCCAGTTCAATCCGATTTTGTCAGTCATAGAGCTTTCGCCGTAAACAGTGTTTTTGAGTCGAAAAATCGACACAAAATACTACACAAAGTGTGTTATGTGTCGATTTTTCGACACATAACACTCGGAGGGTTAATGCAGTCACGAAACCGTATAAAGTCCGACTTGCCTTCCACACATGCCTTTTCTGTCATCATAGGCTACCTATATTTTATGCTACAGCAAGTTTGGTTTGGTTAGGTTAGTTTAGAATAGTTTAATTTTAATAATAATATGTATTCATAGACTAATCAACATGTTAATTTAAGTCAATAACACAATCACTCATCCCCTGGTTATATTACCAAATGTAAAGCACACTTCATTACTAATTTATTTAATAATACTTTACTGTAGTACTCTCTGATAATATTTAACAAAGTGTTATGACACTAGCGCTCAAGTGTCACCAACATGAACTAGACATGGAAAAACTTCATATTTAAGAATGGAATGAGAAGTCTACCATTGTTTGTTAGTTTATGTTTAATAGTAGTTGTTAGGCTTTAGAAGTATGCCTACGTAAAAATCCTTATTCTAGGTATAAGGATTCAAAAGGGCATAAAAGCTACATGGTTAAAGTAACAATGTTGGCCTATTTTGTGGAGTGGATTGGATTACTGGAACTTGGAACTGGATTTTGTCAAATCCATCATGCCGTTGCCGCCGCCACCCGCCACTAACCATTTCACTAAGCTGCGTACAGCTTAGCTATCTTGTTTCCTGAACGATCTTTATGCTGAAATTAATAAGTTTGCGTTAATTAACCTATTGATTGTTAGTGTGAGTCTAATATTTACTTAAAATCACTTACAATATACATAAATTTAATAGTTAGGCTATACAAAGTTTCTGGTGAGGAAATATCGTCAATTAAAATAGACTAGTCAGTAGACTTACAAAGGTAAATAAAACTTAAAACAGCCGTAACTCCATTAATATTTGTGAGCGCAGAAAAATTTTTGCACCGTTATTTTCAGCAAAAAATCTAGTTTCTGGTGATATATAAAGCTAGGTTCCCATGGTCACGTTCGTCGCAATAATTACCACGTTCTGAAACAAACGCTTTTCCTTGACACCAACCCTACTACTTTCTTAATTAATATTTTGTTGGAAAGGCTTTCTTTTTAACTTAATTAAATAAGTTATATTAGCAATAATAATTTATGCCTGGGTAGCCGAGTGTTTGTAGTCTCCTTCAATTCAAATCTGAAGGTCGCTGGTTCAAATACAAGCAAGATCGTTTCCAGACCCAGATGCCATTTTAACCCAGTCAATCTAGGTAAAAAATCATGGAAACCCGGAAATGCGAGATATAAAGCTGAATTTTGGCACAGATGTTCTTTATGATATCCTTGACCATACCCTAAAAGTCCCCCACCGCCCCATGTGTGCTTCTTCCGGTATAAAGAAAAAAGGGGGGAGGGGGCGAATATTACAGAAACCACGCTTACACGCGCAATGCTTGAGAACAGTAAGATATACAGATATACAAAAAACTGATTTAGATGCAGTAAAATGTGTACACAATAAAGTATACACAACTTAAAGGCAATCGTTGGTTTAGTAGTGAAGCCGGATGCCGGCACGGTGCGATGCCAGCGGTCGCGGTGCGGCAGAGGCAGTCATCGCTCACTGGATTCAACGCGAACGGCGCGTCGTGCATGCACCCTTGAACATGTTTAAAACTGCACCTGCACCCTGCAACGAGACCTTCTCTGGAGGAACAACCCCCCACCACTGCGCAGTGATGAACACTTCCTAATCGTACAGAGCATAGCTGAACCGTCACTGTTGCTGTCAAAACGCCCGGGTTATTTCCTCATAATAGGTCAAACATTAAATTGTTATGTTCCAGTTTCCAGGTTGAAGGAGATTGTAAATAGATCTATGTAAATAAATGTAAATATTATTGTTGAATTATTTGTAGGCCTAGAAGAAATAAGTTTTGAAGATCTTCAGTAATTTAACATTGGGCATAAATTACTATTTTTGTTCATGGCTCTATATAGGCCTACCTGTATATTTAGAATGGCATAAAATTAAATTTTTTTCTTCTTTTTTTTATTATAAAACGAGTAACATAGTTACAATATTAATTTTATTAATAGTTATTATAAATTTATTTATTTATTTGGTCAGTACATTTAGATAATACTACGGATAGATACTTAGAATAAGGTATAGCCTATGTTTAAAAAAAAGTATCTGCTGACTTGTTAACATTGTTTATACAAAAGTAAAAAAAAAAAATATTTTCACATATTGCGTTTAACTATAAAGTATGTTTCAACATTTATTTAGAATGTTTGCCTAAATATAGGTAGATTGATTTTCATAATTTATTTTCCAGGATACAAAGAAGAATTTTTTTATAAGGATATTATATATTGAGGAAGATTGAAGGATTAGTTTGACTTATTTATATTTGAAACTTTTAATAATTAGTTTACAAATAATTCATAATCCTTAATTAATTACATAACATCATTAAATGGCTACTCAGTTCCTATCAGTAAGGGCCGGCGCGCACTATCCCGACCACGACCACGACCACGACTCCGACTGGTCGGATACGACCAGTTTTATAATAGGAATAAACGGAACAGCGCGCACTGGTCGACTGGTCGGACCCTGGTCGGGCCCTGGTCGCACGACCAAAATTTTCCAGTTTGGTCGGGCCCGACCCGCTGGTCGTTGCAGCCAAAAATAGCACACAATTTAATGGGACGACGCGCACTACCTCCAACTTGCCTCCGACCCGACCAGTACACCACTCAACCCCCAGTATTTCTAGACTAATCAAACGGTGAGCACTAGTTTTTTGCACCGGTCTGTGAAGTGACTCATTTGGTAAAATGTCGCAGGATTTTGACACTTTTGAAACCTGTCTTCATATTGACGTAGCTCTTCATAAAATGTTGCAAAATGCCCTTTCAGACCTAACAGTTAACATTAGATATACCCAGTATAGTGTCTTCTTCCGCTTAAAGCCGGGTTTACACGATGCCAGTTGGCGAGACAATTGTCAGGAGACAACTGACTGGCTTGGAATTACTAGCTTCGTGTAAACACTTCAGGCCAATTGGCAAGCCAATTGGTCCGCCAACTGTCCCGAAATCCAGTTGTCTCCGGGAGTAGACTTGGGACAATGAGCTGGGCCCAGTGAGGCCCCCACCCCTCGAAAACCCAGTTGTCGTGACAATTGGCGCCGTGTAAACGGTGTAGAGGCCAATAGCACTGTTGTGTCTTTTAGCAGTAGTACCCTGGTTCACTATAAAATGCCTGGGCAAGTGTTGGCCACGTGTGAACAGGTTCTCGTTCAACTTGCCTGGCCTACGACAATTCCAAAACCACGTGATGCCAATTGGCAAAGACAATTGTCTCGCCAACTGGCATCGTGCAAACCCGGCTTAACGTACATACAATACAAATGCACCATAACAACTACTTCTTCAACAATCATCTTGGCACTGAAGTTTGTAAAACATTCGTTGCCTTGGTCGGGTCGTGCTCTGGTTGCATGGCGAATTACAACCACTGGTCGGGCGTTTGGTCGTGGTCGTGGTCGTGGTCGGGATAGTGCGCGCCCGGCCTAAAGAGGGCTCGGGATTGGAAGAAATTGCTCCGGGTCGCAGGAATTTTATCCCCCTGGAATTTTACCCCCTGGGCAAAGCTGACGTCACTATGACGTAGTAACCTGAGTGGCCAAAAGTTTGTTCGCGGCCGGAATTTTACCCCCATTGATTTTGAAGTCTAATGGAAAATAGCCAGAGCGTGATTAATTAGGTTAGCGATAAAAACCGGAATTTTACCCCCTGTCCATATAACTAGCGTTTAGACAACTGAAGATGTACGGGCCGGATTTTTACCCCCGGATTTTCACCCCCGGAATTTTACCCCTGGATTTTTACCCCCCGGAATTTTACCCCCGGATTTTCACCCCCTGGCCGATTTTAGAAATCGAATTATTGATTTTCTTATTTCTGTTTTTAATTAGGTAGTTGTAAACATTTCATTCTTTAGTAGCCTATCTTTATTTATTTATTTTATAATCTCAACTAAGTAAACAGAATTCACTGTTTAATTTTGATGTTCGGGATTTGCGTTTGGGGCCAACTGTTGGTTATGTAAAATAAACTGAGAAACTCATTTAAATGATAATTGGGAGAAAATGTCTTCGCAAAGAAACAATATGGCATATTTTGTCATTGTTACAATACAAACAAAAAACATTGTTTTACCACGGTTGTATAATAAATCGTTAAAGAAATCTACGAATCCATTACCATTCTGATGTTTGTTTATACGTCATATTAATCAACAGTTGGCTTCAAAGATCGAATCCTGATACTCGAATCTCAAAATTAAAATCAAAAAACCTTTTCGATTATTTGATGTTACAAAGAAATTAAGATAGGCTACTTAATAATAATAAAATGTTTACTATTAAATTAAAACAGAATGAAGATAGTTAATCATTCTCACTAATTTATATATCTGGCCAGGGGGTAAAATTCCAGGGGTAAAAATCCGGGGGTAAAATTCCAGGGGTAAAAATCCGGGCCGTACACTCTAGGTTTTTATAATTTGATGTGCTCTGATTAAATTCACAACCATGAAAATATATGTTTGATTACGCGTTTAATCCATCGAGCTGATGTCGCGAAACTCTAAAGTTCGCGGTCTCGTCATGTAACCTTTTTATCATGGACGCCTTTTTAGATGGAAAATTTTGATATAGCCTACTACTATATATCTAAAGAACAAACTTATTGACTTTAATGGCTCCAATATAATTATTACTGATCTACCCATTAAAAATTAGGTGTCATATTTAAGGTAGTTAATCCAATTTGTACAAATATTATTTTAGGCTATGTTAGTAATCGTTTCTGATTGTACTTAAAATATATAATAGTAAAACTTTTAAATATTACTTTATCCTGTACATTATTTATTGAATACAATGCTTATGTTATGTTTTTAGGCCATTGTACAAGTTTATTCTGGAGTTTATTCATACTATTGCCAGCTTAAATATACTTTTTAAGGGTGAAAAATTAAGTGTTGTTTTGACGAAAACCATTGGTAAAGTAAATTTAGGACAGTGCAACTTTGTATGAAAATACCCCCACCGCAGCGAACCTGCAGACTAAGTGAATTTCTATTTGCCCGATTGGATTTTTAATTAAATCTATTTAAATAACATTATGCCTAACAAGTACGTAGGTTTGCTGCTACAGGGAGGGTAATGATGTGCGTTTTTTAGTAAAATATCAATAGCTTAGTATAAATTAAGTTTATTTGCCAAGTTTGATGAAAATATATCCGTAAACAAGCAAACTACAACAGCTAACTTATTCTTCTTAAGAATAACATGGGAACTTTAAATTTATAATTTTTTGAATTTTCTTCGTAACCAATAACCTTACAAAAACACTTTAATATACTGAAATATTTGATTATTTAAGCTTTTTAAAATGGTTTATAGAGAAATTAGAAATGTTTGTGTTTTGAGGGTAAAAATGAGAAAATTCAATTTTTACCCCATAAAACCATATTTTTACCCCATAAAACCCCCTGTAAACACTCGTTCCCATGGTCCGATCATGCTGATTTTCCAACTCATTTAAGATTATCCCATCTTACACCTCAAGCCAAATTTAATCAAAATCGGACCAAAATTACTCAAGTTATCGTGTTCAAGGACACGTTTAAATAAGTTGCGTCCCCTCCCCCCCTTTATTTCGTTAAAACGGGGGAAGCACACAGGGGACGGGCGGGGACTTTTAGGCTGTGATTTTACATACCATAAAGGACATCCTGTGCAAAAAATTAGCTTCATATCTCACATTTCCGGGTAAAAACCTAGATTTACTGGGCTATTTGTTATTGGGCATTAATGGTTCTATCTATCAAATACCCCGCTGCAGCAAACCTGCCGACTAAGCAAATTTCCATTTGCCTGGATTGATTTTCAATTTTTAAGCTAGTAAATTAACATTTATGTTTAACTAATACCTAGGTTAGCTGATACAGGAAAACTAATAAAGTGTGTTTTTATTAAAATATCAATAGCTTAGTATGAAATAAAATCCGCCAAGTTTGTTCAAAATATATCCATAAACAAGCCAACTACAACATTTTACAATATTCTCCATAAGAATAACATGGGAATTTAAAATTAACAATTTTTTGAATTTTCTCCGTAACCATTCACCATACAAAAACACTTTGATATACCAAATTATTTGTTTTTTTAAGCTCTTTAAAAAGGTCTGGAGAAAAATTGCTAAATTTTGTGTTTTAAGGGTAAAAAATGAGAAAACCCCATTTTTACCCAATAAAATCCCCCGTTACACCCCGTTCCCATGGTCCAATCATGCTGGTTCGCAAACTCATTCAAGTTTATCCAGCCTTACACCTTTAAACCAAATTTTATCAAAATCGGACAAAAATTACTTAAGTTATCGTCCGGACGGACACATATATCTATATATATCTATATATAGATACTAGCTGTACCCGCGGGCTTTGCCCCGTTTAACTTTTTAATTTTCAAAATGAGCTCGTTCGCATGGCTCAACCACGTCCTGGTTAAAGTTCGTTCGCTACGCTCACTCACCTTTAGGTTGGAGCTCGTTCGCTGCGCTCACTTGCCTTCAGGTTAGCTCGTTCGCTACACTAACTCGCCTCCAGGTTGAAGTTCGTACGCTACGCTCACCCACCTTTTGGTTGCAAATTAGCTGTTGTCATAAATTAAAAAAATATAATAGTGCTGCACCCTGTTGGTAATCCTTGTAACTTTAATGCTATTGCGAATCATAGAACAGTACCAACTTGTTTAATTGAAACAGCTGTTAAGATTCATTAATTCCATTTAAATATGACTACATGTATAAGGTTAACATGGAAAACTCCAGAGCCACTGGGGCGGAGCCCGAGAGTCCGATCAGAATAAAAACAACTTAGTTTTCCTATTTAATGCCTAAAGAATCAGTGTACCAAATTTCAGCCTCCTAGGTAAATGGGAAGTGGGAGAATTAGTGATGAGTGAGTGAGTGAGTCAGTCAGTCAGTGAGTCAGTGAGGGCTTTGCCTTTTATATATATAGATACTAGCTGGCCCGACAGACGTCGTCCTGTCCTAATGTGGTTTTATGTCAATGCTCCTTCATTTTCAAGATGAGCTCGTTCGGATGGCTCAATCACGTCCTGGTTGAAGTTCGTTTGCTATGCTTACTCACCTTTAGGTTGGAGCTCTTTCGCTGCGCTCACTTGCCTTCAGGTTAGTTCGTTCGCTACGCTAACTCGCCTCCAGGTTGAAGTTCGTTCGCTACGCTCACTCACCTTTTGGTTGCAAATTAGCTGTTGTCATAAATTTAAAAAAATATTGTGCTGCACCCTGTTGGTAAACCTATTAACTTTTTTATGCTATTGAACATCACAGAATCAAACTGTCTAGTTGGGCCAGCTGTTAAGATTCTTTGATTCCATTTAAATATGAGTACTCATAAGGTTAACATGGGAAACTCCAGAGCCACTGGGGCGGAGCCCTTTTGACGGATCTGTACCAAACTTCGCACAAACCATCCTTGAAAAATGCTTAATAATGCCCGAAAGTTTCATTACTATCTGTCGAGCGGTTTCGAAGTCCATAAAGGACAAACAAACAAACAAACATACAACAAAAATACATTGGATTTTATATATATAGATATATACATATATAAAAATTTGAACGAATGGTGTTTTTGGCCTCTGGGGACATCAAAATGAAAAAGTAAATCGGTCCCGGGCCTAGGTCTTACCATGAGACCTACGGTAATACTTTACTACCCTTTGACGTCAAACGGGGTGAAGCCAATGGTAATAGCTAGTGCCATATAAAAGTGTGCTCCCTGATGTAACCTATTGAAAAGTTAATAGGGTGTGGTCATACATACTTTTGCCTAACCTTGGATATAACCACCATGTTTCTCTTTAGGAAAACTAATAATTAGCTATAAAAATGAATCACAAGACTAATAAGAAGAGTAAAGATAAGAAAAATGGATCCGGTACAACATGTTACCCTGATAAATTAACACAAGAATTAGCTGAAACATTAGAAGAAATCACAAGTTCTGGCAAAAACATGTTGGAGGAAGCAGATTTTTTGAGGATAAAAAATATTTGCAGGTAAGAGGTTTTTATTTGGAAAGTATTGAATGTGAAAAAACATTGTATTTTATATATATATATATATATACTAGCTGACCCGGCGAACTTCGTATCGCCTAAGTTATAGGTTTCCCCTAAGACAGACCGATGGAAAGAAAGTACCGTTACGTTTAATTTTAAAGATGATCTCGTTCGCATCGCTCAATCACGTCCTGGTTGAAGTTCGTTCGCTACGCTCACTCACCTTTGGGTTGGAGCTCGTTCGCTACGATCACTCACCTTTAGGTTGGAGCTCGTTTGCTGCGCTCACTTGCCTTCAGGTTAGCTCGTTCGCTACGCTCACTCGCCTCCAGGTTGAAGTTCGTTCGCTACGCTCACTCACCTTTTGGTTGCAAATTAGCTGTTGTCATAAATGTAAAAGAAATAATAGTGCTGCACACTGTTGGTAATCCTTGTAACTTTAATGCTATTGAACATCATAGAACAGAACCAACTTGTTTAATTGAAACAGCTGTTAAGATTCATTAATTCCATTTCTCATAAGGTTAACATGGGAAACTCCAGAGCCACTGGGGCGGAGCCCTTTTAAGAATTTCGAAACGGGAAATAGTTTACGTCCGATTCGCATACCTACAGAATTTACACACCAAATTCCATAACGATCGGTGAAGTCGTTCCGGAGGAGTTTGCAGACAAACACTGTGACACGAGAATTTTATATATTAGATATAGCCTATATATATATATACACAGGGTGGTCGCGAATAAGCGTTAAACTTTTTATTGGGTATAAGAGGAGCATAAATAGAACTCGTAAACGTGGTTTAGAAAAATCTATCTCATACACACCCCCAGAGATGAGTTGTTTTAAGTTTTTTTTGAAAAAAATTGACATAAATTACAAAAATGTTGCATTTTTCGGGTTATTTTAAAACTTCCATCAACATTTAACAGTGAGTACCATAGCGTTCTCCACCAAATTTTGAATAAAATACATGTACTTCAACTTGCCTTTGAATCTGCATAGCTACTTATTAAAATTGAAAAAAAATAAAAATTTGTGTTTTTAAAAAAAATATTTAAAAAAATACGTAAACATAAATTTTTGTTAAAGAAGGTTTTAAAGAGCAGCAAATACTTTTGAAAACTGCTCCATAATCTTTTAAGCTTTCAAACAATACCATAAAACGTAATATTTGATCCCAATAAATGTCCACTATTCAAGTTTGAATGGCGTAAAACACAGGTTATCCAAAACATTTTAGGCCCTACTATTAAAAACAGTTTCATCTATAATATTACAGCCTTGTTCAATGTTCATTATTATAAATTATTAAATTATAATGAACAGCTAGTGGCCCCAACAATGATCTGGGGTTTCTTCGTTGTGTATAAATCACGTATTAATCTACATAAGACGATTTTGAGTGGTTTTTAATAGGGGTCACAACATGTTTTCCAATTAAGAATATGCAGGAATACATTTTGTGTATGGTTCTTCCAACGCAAACTCAAGTGAGTCTCAACGAGAGTACTCTCTTCGCTATCCTGATCAGCGCGTCCCGAGTACGCACGTATTGGCCAGAGTTCACCAGCGTCTAGCAGAACAGGGAACTGTGCATCGAGTCTACGTGGAGGAAGATATCCTGAAGCGCGTGGATGAAGAGCCGGAGATCAGCAGTACGAATTTTGCTAGGGCTACTGGTGTAAGTAAAACAACTTTCTTGAAAGCTTTGCAGAAAAATAACTTTCATCCCTATCACTTTACTAAGGTTCAAGGCCTTGAGTCTATTGATTACGTCCCTAGGGTAGACTTCTGTCGATACCCCTGAACTGTGATATTGAAGAAAATCACTTTTTCAAGAAGATTTTGTGGACAGATAAAGCTCTCTTTACTATACAAGGTGTGTTTAGTTTCCACAACATGCATATGTGGAAAACGGGAAACCAAAACACACTAAGGGAGATGTCCTTCCAAAACAGATTTACCATAAACGTATGGGCAGCAGTGGTAGGGGATAGATTATTAGGCCCTCAAACTTTTCAGGGCAACCTGAACGGAGATGTCTACCTCGACTTCCTACAGAATAATTTGCCTCAAATTCTGGATGCTATTGACCCTGCTCTTCGTCATGAAATTATCTTCCAACAAGACGGAGCTCCGCCTCACTTCACCAGTCAAGTGAGAGAATAGCTTCACTTCAACTACCCCACTTGGATCGGACGAGGAGGCACTGTTTCTTGGCCTGCCAGATCTCCGGATCTTAACCCTATGGATTTTTGTTGTTTGGGGGTTTATGAAATCCGTCGTCTACGCAACCCCTGTAAACACTGAAGAAGAACTATAATACAATGTTATCATACTTGTCTTAAAATACCTTCATGCGTATGGTCACTATTTCAGAATAAAGTATTAAAGTATCTTCTTCTACAACCATCTAGATGACAACTGTGAATAAGTACAGTAACACTCTTTATTCACCTTGCAAACTTGTTATGAATTAAGTGTTTTAAATCTTTTTCCAAGGTGTGTTTGTTGAATCTTGTTTACCAAAACTTTACTTTTAATTTAAAATGTTGATATATTTAGGTTGTTTACTGTGTTTTTTTATTGAAAATTTTAGATCAATTTTATTTTAAATAAACCCAATAAAATGCTGTTTAAACAAGAACATTATTATTTTTTGTGTTTATAATTGAGTACGCTCTAGAAATTCAGAATAAATAATAATCAACCTATTGTTTACTTAATTTGGTGCTACTGTAAAAAACTTATAACTTTACTTTAAGGTTCAATGATTGTAAGCTAATAATTATACATTAAACTGTTAGTTGGTTTGTTTTAGACGCTCAGATAAATATGTGAAGGAAGCATACGATTTTCTTTTGCAACACCTCAATAAGAACCATGCTGAGGTTCGACGAAGTGCCTTTCAAGTTTGTAACCAAATTTTCAGGTAAGCCTTATTCTGTTTTTGTTATTTACTATTTTTTAAATTTAATACTAAAAAAATAATGATAGTCACTTTAGGCATCACTTTTGATTATTTTTCCTAAATGCATTTTTACTTTAGGAACAGCTCGACCAGATCTGTATTTATGCTAATGCAAGAAACAAATTAAACTCAGCCATAAGCAGTGGAAAACCTCTATTTTCAAGGCAATCAAAGAATAAAGACCCAAAAGGTTTTTGGCCATTGTTGAATACGCCGTGTACTAGGCTCGATCAGAGAAATTGAGTGTGCCTTCTCTCCTGAGGACTTGAATCAATTTTTCTCCACAATGGGCAGCATAACTTGTGTTAACAGGAGCAGGATTGAGTTTTACAACGAGAACCTAGAACCTCAGTAGCCAAGTGAAGACCAAATTATCATTCAGTCTAGTGACAGAGAAAAGAATAAATACTCCCGCCGCAGCAAACCTGCAGACTAAGCTAATTTCCATTTAACTGATTGGATTTACACTAAAATGTCTACTTAAAAATATAACATTTATTCCCTATTTAAATAGAATTAGTTTAACAAGTACTTAGGTTTGCTGCATCAGGGAGGGTAAAACTGTTTTTTTTTTTGTAAAATATTAATAGTTAGTAAGAAATACAAACATTTTCCAAATTTGATCAAAATATGTTCATAAACAAGCAAACTACAACAGTTTACTTATTCTCCATTCCATAAGAATAACATGCTCCGTAACCATTAGGCGCATAATAACGCTTCAATATACTAAATTATTTATTTTTTTAAGCTCTACAAAATGGTTTGGAAATAAATTGCTAAATTTTATGTTTTTTTCGTCAAAAATGGTAAAAACCTATTTTTACCTCATAAAACCCCCCGTAAACCCCCGTTCCCATGGTCCGATCATGCTGGATTGCGAACTCGTTCGAATAAACGTAGGTTTACATGTTTGTACCAAATTTCATCAAAATCTGATCATTTTTGCTTAGAGTTATCGTGCTAACGGACACACATATATATATATACTTTTGTACCCACCCGGAGAGGCAGTCACCGCGCTGGTAATTTACTTGGTGTGGCAGTCACCCGCCCGAAAGCCAGTCAGCTCTCCCAAAAGCCAGTCAGGTATGGCTTCCCGTGCACTTTATACGTTTGAAAACAGCTTAACCGGTGCTGCTGCCTGTGTCGATAAGCGTAACTACAATACCAAATGTGGAGACTGTCTCATCGTGTGTTCTATCGTGGAGTAGTGTAGCCAGTATGGCACCCTCCTCGCCTACTTTGTAGCGGTAACACCCAGTGGTCGGTAACCTTCGTTTACTCCTTGTTACTATTGATGTTGGGATATTGATTAACTACGTGTTAATGTTTAAACATGTTCATATTCCAAATAAAAATGATGCACCTCTAATAAGGAACTACGAATATTAATTAATTATTATAAATGGTTGAATCTTAAAAACCTACCCGGTCATCATCCCAAATTTTTATTTTAATTTTTTTTCACCTTCAGTAGAAATTTTAGTCAATATCTCCTTTATTGACGTACAATATCTACAGTGTGTCCACGGACCTGGAAGATCGGGAATTATACGGATTTTCTTTATCTCTGGAAATATACGTGAATCTTCTCCGAGATACGGAAACTGTTTTTTTACGCTATTGCGTAACGCGAAGGAGGAACTATTACATGTGGCAACGATATTATTCTATCTGATAAGAATAACCACGAAACTACACTCGATAGATAAAAGATGTTTATAATAATTTTAATTTTACAAACAATTACAGGAATTCTATTTTGGGACGGATGAAAGATAAGGAAGCAACAAAAAGTGGTCACGAGTACAAATACTGGGGGGGGGGGGGGTACTGTACACCATGACAAACGCCAGAAACGATTATTTTTTGACTTTTCAGATTCCTTATCAAATCTCTCTCTCTCTTTCTCTCCCTCCCTCTCTTTCACTCCCCCCCCTCTCTCTCTCTAACGATGTACAGTTTGTGGACTTTACTATTTAAGTTTCCCTGCAACTATTTCAGTTCAATCCTATTCCTATCCTTATGGTTTCCTTTCTATTGTTTTTTTTTTTAATAAATAGTAAAGCTGGCTAAACTATTTTTTATTTTGTTTTCTTGAAACCCAACACTCTTTACCATCCGGTATTCTGCAGAGTAAAATGTTTAACACTGTGTTTATTAAAATTGAACGGCCTCACAATTTCGTGTTTTATTTTTTTTAAGTAATAGTAACTTGCATATTTATATATACCAATAAGTGCTGCAAGCTGTAATGAATGCTTCTGTTTAATATCAAAATAAGTTATGAATTAATTTTTGATAATACATCGGTCATTGAATACCAACTATAATGTGATGGGGTTTTCTATTTGTAGCTTAAACTTGCAAATACATTAGAACATCGCTCATCTGGGATCGGATCAACACGATGCCTATATATTATATAACCTCAGAAATCCCAAGAAAATGTTTTATGAATTGTGTTTTTCAGTCTAATATTTCTATATGAACTATATATCTATTTACGGCAATTTTTATCTGCAGTAGGTTCCCCATTATTGAAACATTACAGTTCATTTGGCAAAAATAAGATGGAAGCAAAACGGAGAAATATCGATCAGTAGCTTCAAGGTCAAGCTATACGCTCGCACCTACGGACTGACAATCTTGCACTGACACTGACATACTGAAAATCGTCTGCTGTCACAACAATACAACATTTTGTGGTTGGGTCGTTGGGTGATTAGTAACCATGACAACTTGTGGATGGAGAGAAACCAAAGAAAGAATAGAACAAAGAGAAATAATAAGAGGGGTTTTACATCATTGTTATCTTTATCTTATTTTTATCACTGTTGTTATTACTAGAAAGACTTAAGTACAGTACTATGATTTTATAGTGTTTTATGAGTTATTTAATATTTTTATCACCATACTTCTGTTCTGAAACATCATGTAGTAGTAGCCTATGATGACTACGGTATTAGTAGTCTACTAGTCTAGATTTCCTTTTGTTTTGTTCTTTACGTGTTTTATTGCTGTACAGTAAGCAAGTTTTGTTTTGTTTGAGTAAGCACACGGTGTAGTTTTTATTACTGAACCAAGGTTAATGGCATAACATATCATGGTTGCGCAATACCTATTGTATTTTGACTATGTAAAATGCAAATTTATAATCACGTTAACGTCCATTTTTACAGAGTGTCCCGGAACGGCATTGTTCCTGAGTAAGCACATGTCAAAATATCATATTTAAATTTTCCAGAAGTCCGTAGTTACTCACACAGCTAAAGATTTTTTGGGCCTAAATCATTTGAAACCTGTACATAATATATTTTTGGTGGAGTTTTCGACCACTGGACGACCACTAGTTAAATATAATTGTATTACAACAATCTTATAGTAAGCAATATAAGCTTGAATCAGACTTATCTGCCTTCAGCTAATCCATCATATGATAGTACGTTAGAGAGTATGCCCATGCTGAAGTTTTACTTATACTTGAAGAATGACTTAATTTAGTACCAAGAAATAAATCACACCTCTTTCATACACTGTACTATGCTGTTTTAATTCTTTGTAGCGGTCATATTTTGATCCAGTGGCGGGTGTTTGGTGTTTTGAATACGAATACTGAATGGCTCGTTTTAAGATCGTATCATTACGAATCGTATCATTTTAAGATTTTCTTACACGAGAAATGCAATTTCCATTTTTAAATTTCTCAGGTACAAATTTTATGAAATAACATTATTGCATTGTTTGACAATAATATTGTACTTAGGAACTTAAAATACAATTCAGGAGGTCAGTTATCAAACATACAATAGCCTTAAATAACGTTAAGTATTACTAATTGACGTTAATCAAAACCAGTAGTCAATATTTAGGTTTGTTGCACTAGATTTAGACACTTTACTTTATTTTGGTAAATTTTAATTACGTTAGGCCTACTGATCAAAAACGCAAACTGCGGGCTTGCATTTGCTATTTTATATTCAGGTCGGATTTATTTCAAACTAAACAAATACAAACTCATTCGTGGTCCAAAAATCCCCCTCTTCCAAGTAAGGCTATAACGGTACATTACAAAACGAGAAAGTTCAAATTCTCAGAACTCATCTGAATGTTCGTCTACCTCTTGGCGCATCCCTTACAGTGATTCAATGGTGTCAGACTCCGACCAGCTTGTCGTGTGTCGAGTGCTCGAAACTGCAAATTTAACTAGTAGAGTAGCAGTCATCTTCTATAGAAATAAAATTACAGTTTTGTCTGTCCATTGCGTAGAATCATGCAGTTTTTTGGTTATTTTTACGTTTCATAGCCTAAGAAAGCTGAAACGAGTATCATCTCAATTTCTTTCTGTCTGTCTTTCTGTCATTCTGTATGTACCAACAAAATGTAAATTTACGCTGCCTACTCCGAGAAAACTAGATTACGGTATGCTATAGTATAAACATCTACCATATCCATAATAATGTTCTACCGCTGCATCTAAACAGCAGAAAAAATTAATCACCAAAGATTCGCACAATACGACAAATTATTTATAAGTAAAAAACATAAGCATTTAACTGTAAACAATCCTATTTTGTCACTTCCAATTGTGTATCAAAGGTTTTTGTTGCTGCTTGGTTCAAATTAGCTGTTGTCGTAAATGAAAAAAATAATAGTGCTGCACTCTGTTGGTAAACCCTATAAACCCTTAATGCTGTTGAATATCATAGAACCAACTTGTGTAATTGAAACAGCAAGTAAAATTCTTTAATTGATTTCAAATATGAATACTGATAAGGTTAACATGGGAATTCCCAGGGCCACTAGGGTGGAGCCCGAAAGGATCTGGGACCAAAAGGATCTTTGAGATAAGAGTAGTATGTCTATATGTTAATCTGGAATGTGAGCTATCTTCATATCGAATTCCAGCTCAATCTGACCAGTAATTAATGCGTAATTGAACTTCAAACAAACAAACA